AGTACTATGGCGAAGTCGGCGTCGGCGTACTGTCGGCATCTTGAAAGCAAGTCGATTATTAGCTGCGTGGGTTGGTATGATTTTATGGAAGTGAAGTAGATGGTTTCCTTCTAATGCGACCTTAAATAAGATTTGAAGTGAGTCGACTAGTGTTATGAAATGGCCAGCTTCCCGGAAACACAGGTGCCATGATTTCGGGAAGAATGACAGATCACAGTGCCACTGGCCCCAAGGCAGGCAGCGCGTCTGTCTTCATTGTCTCAAAAGGAATCCCCTTTCCTATACTGAAAGCCCAAGTGGGAAAGCCTGGTTCTAACACGGGGAACACACGCGCTTCGTGTTGTTCTCGTGATGGCTATATTCATAGCAACAGACAGAGTCCATGGTCCAGACGAGCGTCGTAACGGGCAGGTATGAACCGGGATTAGCACGGTCAAAGCCTCGCGTACCCGTCACCTAGAATACTATTCCGTGCCCGCTGCTCTCTGTAAGCCAGCAGGGAGAAAGAGTCAAAGGTTAGGCTAGGCTAGGCTTTCGGAACACCGGCGGTCGAGAGAGAAAAACAGTCCGCTTGACGTCTCGGTTCCGATAAGACATAGGTGCCAAACCATAAGGAAATCCCGTTGACTGAAATGGAACCAACCGGACAGAGCGGAAGCCTATGATTATGAACCAACAGCCATGCATAAGGTTAAGTCATTAAGTGACGTTACATTGTCATCCTCAAGTACTCATCTCGACGAGCGGAGGAAATTAAGCCGCAACGAGCCTAAAGCCCGCGCTACTCGACTCAGTAGCCCCATTGTTGACCAAAGCTCCACCACTCCCCAGCGTTAGATATTGCTTGTTGGACCCCGCGAGGATTGAATAGATGCCACTTGCAGCACCCTGCTTCGGACGTATGACGAATATCTCCCACGAAGAGGCGACGTCGCGGGCGGCCGAAATAGTGTACGATCCACTGGAGTCTGCGGTGACGAATTTGTTGTTTGATACCGCAGAAATGGTTCCTGCGTTAGGCGCAAAGGCAAAGTTAAATTTAGCAGCCAGACTCTGCGTGGTTGTAGAGGCTGTGAGATCGGGGAGAGTTGACGCTGTGACATATGCGTTGCTAGAAGCAGACTGGATGTAGAAGGTACCGATGGGATTGGAGGGGGCTGCTGCGCATACATTGGAAGCGCCGGAACGAGTGGAAAGATAGTAAAGTTGATTGCTGAATGAGTTTCCTGTCCCCCACGAGGTCAGTGAAGAGGACAGTTGCGCCGCGGCTGTCGGGTTGGCTTGAGAGTACGCAAGATGAATAACCGACTTCCATTCGTCGCCGATGGTAGGATCGTTCAATTCCGTGAGAGTATAATCGTGTACGGCCTGTGCCCAGGATGCATCATACATATATTCGTTGATGGGCGTTACTGGTAAAATTTGTATTGCTGCGATCTCGACCTTCTGGGCGCCCCAAAACCTTGGAAATGAGGATGTCAGGGGGGCAGCTGACTATCAATGAGGAGAAAGCTCACAGCCATGCGCCAGCCTGAAAGTCCATAACATTGCCGATTGTAACGAGATTACGAATCGCTTGCTCGGGATATGGTTGATCCCTGCTTGTGGCGCTGGCCGTGGGATAAAGGTGCCAGTAAACCTGAGCAGCGTGTTGTTCCGTGGCAATCAAGAGGCGTGCGTAGTTCTTGATATCGGTATTACCCGTGGCATCGGCCCACAGTAAGGCACCGTAGTAGCCATTGACTGCCTCGCCGATGGACTCTTGATCACGAGGACCCGCACCATTGGCAATGCCGGAGGCTACAGAGCAGCATCATCGATAAGCCTGAGGCACCAGGCTAAATAGGTCATTGGACATACCCCATGAGTGTCCGGCAAACCAATCCCTGCAGCGCGTAACAGGGAAATACGGATCGTTCTTAGACGGGTTGACAATGTCACGGAGATACCATTTCATGGTCGGTCCATAGGTATTCAGCCAACCGCTGTCATGTCTAAACGCCCGAAGATCAGGAAGACCGACTCCGCGAATAAAAAAGACACTCATACTTCGCAATCACAGCAGCCGCAGCCAGGAAGTATCCGTAATGAAAGTGGTGATCATTGTAATAACCATTTCCATAATCAACCCACACGTTGTTATAGCCCGCGCGGTTAATTATGCCTCCCCAACCGGTCTCGTACGCGGGCACGGCGGTCGACGCCGAATTGAACTGTACGTGAAAAGGTCATCAGTGGAGTAAATGTACCACATGAAATGTAAGACTAACCATATAACCGAACATGCCCTTGAGGTAGTTGATGACGGGCTGGACAAGGTCATTCCGCCCAACATGTTCAGCGATCAAACTGATGGAGCGTCAACGAAGGTAATAATCAAAAAGGAGGGCAACGTACGCCAGTCTAGACACCATCCCGACGTGCCCACCGAAGAAGTAGAAATCTCCAGGCATCGTCACAGCAGGGAGATGTGCAATCTCATACTGAAGACCAGCAATCAAGTTTGCGGTGCAGGACGAATCCGGCGTGCGAGGGGCATTCCAAGTGATCGTTGGAAGGTCGTAGCGCATGTTCCAAACATTTCCAAGAGCGGGGTACATATATCCCTTCGTTGTAAGGTACGAGAGGGAACTCGTCGCAGGGAAGTTAGGGTTTTGCAGCTTAATACTGCGACATTAAGTTAATTAGACCCTTTCACAGATAAGGGATTCAAGGGATTAGGCACACCGATGATGAGGCCATGTGAGCATTAAGAGGTTTGCTGCATTTCCGGTCACGGTCCAGGTGAAGCGAAGGGTACCAACGTCTCCGGAGAAGTCATAATCGGTAGCGACGGCCGTTGGATAATTCGCCGAGTATTGATCTAGAAGACTCTGGTGGCCAGGAGCATTCAGCTTTACGACCCGTAGGACACCATTGAACTTCGAGCCAGCAGTGATCGTGCCAGCATTCGTAGCAGTAAGGCTAAGCGCTCCAGACAGGGAATAAATGATGTAGGTGCCAGCCCCATTAATAACCTGAAATTTGGTCCCGGTGACAGTAGCTATGAACTCATGAGATCCTACTCTGTGCTCGTGAAAATATATTTTTGCTTACCGCTAGCACCACTTCCGAGCGTGCTGCCGCCAAAAGAAGTGATGGCACCTTGGGCACTAGTGAGCTTCGGTGTCGCCCCCGAGTAGGAAAACGTGAGGTATGGAGAGCCAGGTACGAGGTAGCTGGTCAACGTGCTTGAGCCTGTGAAATACTGCACGGTAACTGATTGGGTATCCTGATGAATCGAATCAGCATGGCCAATTGGAAGAGATTCTTTATATATCTCACCCAAGCCAAGGCCTTATGGTTCTTGACGTCGCCGTTATGCTCCACGAATCCGACAGCCCAGTCAGTCTGTGACGGCTGATGGATAGATGTTCCGTCGAAGTCCCTAGAAGCGGAGATCCCAAATTGTATGGCGGTGGCGGTCAGACTGCTCTGATACGGAAAGGGCCCGCCGACGACGCTGTGACAAGGAATTGTCAGCAGTGGCACGAAACGTCCGATAAAAGCCACTTACGCGTTGCCGGTTCCGGCGGCGAAGCCCACCCACCAATCGTTAGTAGGATAAGGGGGGGAGAAGCCTTGGAAGAAGGAGCTGGGTGGCTGGTCGTTTGCGATAGATCCACCAGCGGGGGCAGGGCGATCCGTGCCAATGGGTCCAAAGACAAGAGCCACCGCGCCACGCAGGGCGAGTAGCCCGCAAGGAGCGGCGAGAACATGGTTTCGAAGCCAGACCATCGAAGAGAAGATTCTTGCCAAAACGTCACAGCACTCGGTCGGGCTTTATATGGGCCATGCATAACATCATTCCTCCGAGACGAGCCTAAGTCAATGACATCGTGGTGTCACCAGTCAAGCAGATCGGGCAGGCGAGGCTCGAAATCTGGCGCGTAATGCCAGAAACAAGCAATGATTTGCTGGACGTGACTTGCTCAGAGCGCGCAACAGCTCGTCGGATGCGCACGTGGTATAGCAGTTGACTCGGGGCGTTTGTATGGGGAAGTCGTTTTCTTAATGCTCATCGCCCAGTGACCGGTGTTTGCAGAGAGAGGAGGGTAGCTCTACATACCCGAACATTGGTCCGGACCCAGCATTGCGCCTGAAACCGAGGGAGAACCTTTTGCGTTCGCGTGTGGTGGTAACAGGTGATGATGTTGTGTAGTGATGTGAGAGGCCCTTTAGGATATTGCTGTTAAGATCCACGTAGGAAAGACAAGAAAAGGAATGTGATTCAACATATGGGAGAAACTCTCGTTTCTCCCACCTTCTTGCCACCTTCCTGTCACTTCCTTAAGCCCGTCGTCGGCCCTGAACGGATTTTCTGGCTCGTTAGGAGTGCAACGAGTCACCGACGGCAACATTGGTACTGGTCATCTGATGGGAACATAGGTCTTGTGGCTCATATTGTATTGCATCATTCGACAACCCAGGAGGAGGATACCAAGACGAAAAGAGTGAAATTGACACAGGTCAGTTGACGTCGACGCGCCATGGACAGTCCGAAAGGCCTGGCGGTCGGTACTCAACACTCAGGTGCACAGACCAGTGTCCAGCCAGGATATCAGGCTACCCAATATGGTCGTTTGGAGGAGAAGGTAAACAGAATTTGATCGATTGATCATTCTCCTCTCGGCCTTTATCGTATCCGATTTGTATCGTTGGCTGCAGCTACCCGTGCCACGACACGTAAACATGCATCGAAAAACATTGAGCATACTCCAAACATCCAGTTGATCGAAATCGTCTGGCAGCATGCATGGTGGAATTAGGAGATAACAACGACACAGTCGATCCAACTCTCATACTGGCCTGACTACCTCAAACATCATCTCACATATCTCCGTACCCTGCGTTACGCTCTACTACCGCCCCGCTGCATCGATTTCGGGTTGGGAGGCAAGCCTTGCCAATTGTTCGAGATTTTGATGATAAATATCTATACACTCCTATAACTTCTTTATGGGCACATGGTGTAGTTGGTTATCACGCCCGCTTAGCATCTTTGAATGTATCTGCGGGCGGTCCCCGGTTCAATTCCGGGTGTGTCCATTTTTTTGACTTTTGCACCGGTGCTTGACAGTGGAAGTTTTTGAGGCTTCAGTTTGTCTTTAGTATTCCCACTTTAATGTCCTGAGTACTGAGTAGTAAGTACTTGACTCAGGGCGGAAAGCGCCTGTAAGAATCTCCACAGATTTTTCATCAAATGGGGTTGATGTAACGTGTTTGAGTCTGAGGCGGTGAGTAAATACGACGTGTCGATTGGCAACGGCAAAGTCTACACAAGTCCTTCCCAGAACACAACGGCTGGCCCAAGCCCAAGGACACTAACTTTTATTCTGCATAATAAGGCGACAAGTCGAGTGAAATTCCTCGACCCGGGCTAGGACCCTTCATACCACTTTCACGCTGAATGATACCGCGAACGACCTCATCTGGCATGGGCGAACGCAAAAAGCGGACGATGTCCGCGTTACCACTCGATTCAATAGCTGCCAGCTCCTCTGCAGCTCACAGGCAGTTGTATCAACAAACTGCAAGGAGCCCGTCACCGCCTGCTTCAGCTTACTTTCCTCTAATTTCGGGCGATACAAATGCGCGGTTATGGTCAACACCTGATGCAGAGGCCCACTTTGCGTACAGTACAACATTGCGGAGGCATCCTTCTGAAGCTGCTGCACTCTCGTCACCTGCGCATCTCGCAAATGCGGTCAACGCCGAGGCACAGACTCTTTGGTCGAGGGCAGTTGGATACGTAACAGGTCGACGGAGTGATTACGAGTCCTTAGTGGAGACTGGACGGGTCACTCCGCCCGTGGAGAGGGATGTTCAGAGCAACACGGCGTCTGCTCAATTTGCTCATACCTCAGCTCAGGTGTGTAATACCTTCACAACTTCACTTCGTTTCCCTCTCAAGCTCACCTCCATCAAGGATACCATTTCCCATTTCCGTACATCCGCGGATAGCGGCCTCTTGCAACGGGACATCGCGAATCTTCTAGTCACCCACGGCTATAACGAATTCTCCGTCTCTACCCCGGAACCCGTCCTTCTAAAGTTTGCGAAGACTATATACGAAAGCCCCCTAATTCTCTTGCTTTGTGGAAGCGCGTCTGTCAGCGCAATCATGGGAAACATTGATGATGCTGTTAGTATCACTGTAGCTGTATTGATTGTATTGACTGGTGAGTAGCCGTTTGACTTCACTTACCTCGTTCTGACATCATTGTTAGTTGGATTTGTACAAGAAAGGCGGTCAGAGAAGAGTTTGGAAGCACTCAACAAGCTAGTTCCCCACCACTGCCATGTCCTGCGAGAAGGCGAGACCAAACACGTTATTGCTAACGAGCTCGTTCCTGGTGATATCGTCACGTTCTCCACCGGCGACCGCATCCCCGCCGACATTCGCATCGTGTCATCCATAGATCTGGAGATTGACGAAAGCAGCTTGACTGGCGAGACGGAGGCACGCAAGAAGAACGACGAAACCTGTCAGTACGACACGTCTCAAGGGCGTGCCAGCAGCGACCCCGTTGCCCTCGCTGATCGAACGTGTATCGCATACATGGGGACCTTGGTCAGAAATGGTACGTCATCGCAATTCACTGTCAGTTATTGTGCATGTTTATTTATAGGTCGTCAGGCCGGGGCACTGGTGTCGTTATTGCAACTGGAACTGCGACTGAATTTGGTGTCATCTTTTCCATGATGCAGGATGTATGTGTGAATGCCACAAATTGTTGGAGCAAAAGCCTCATTGTGTGTGATATATAGGTAGAGGAGAAACGCACGCCGCTGCAGCTCAGCATGGACGAGCTGGCCAAGAAGCTATCTTTCATGTCATTCGGTGTTATTGGCGTCATCTGTCTGATTGGTGTGCTACAACAGAGGTCATGGCTGGAAATGTTCACCATCGGAGGTACGTCATACCAAGCCATACGTCCCTGATCTCGCGCTTATCTGCTTGACAGTCTCGTTGGCTGTCGCTGCCATCCCTGAGGGCCTGCCAATCGTTACAACAGTTACGCTAGCTCTTGGCGTGTTGCGCATGTCCAAACGGAAAGCGATCGTGAAGAAATTGCATTCAGTGGAGTCGCTTGGTTCGGTATCAGTTATTTGCTCCGACAAGACAGGTATGCTGTGGAAATCGAACAGAGATGAAAGTGCTAAACAGTGAACAGGAACATTGACGAAGAATGACCAGACAGTCACAGAGGCTTATGCCGTCGATGAGGCGATTACCCTTGACCCGAACTCTACGACCTATACGGCGTCAATTTCACCTGCACTTAGAAAGACCATGGATATCGGTGCTATTTGCAATAATGCCTCACTAGTACGCAATGAGGATGGCCAATATGTGGGGCAATCAACCGACGTTGCGCTTCTTAACGTTCTGGAGGTATTTGGACTCCCGGATCGTCGACCAGTATGTGTGTCCCACCATTGGACGAGAGACACCCAGATAACATTTTTCTATAGCAATTTGAACGCGTTTCTGAGCGTCCCTTCAATTCCGAACAAAAGTACATGGCCGTTTCTGGGTACCATCGTGATTCTGTAGGTGGTGCTCCCGGAGCCTCACTCAATATTAATGGCGGACCCCGAGAAATGTACTACATCAAGGGTTCCATTGAAGCCATCCTCGACCGGTGTAAATTCTATTATGTCAACGATGAGTCCACGCCAGCACTGGACACGAACACACGGAACGTGATCCTCAGCAAGGCCCAAGCGACCGCAGCACGCGGCCTCCGTGTGCTCGCCATGGCGTACGGCTTCGGCAGCATGGACGACCGGCCACCCTCGCGCACCACCACCTCCCGCGGGACCTCACCAACAAGTGGGGCGCCGGAGAAGTCGAATCTCGTATTTGCGGGCTTCCAGTCGATGCTTGACCCGCCTCGGAAGGGCGTCGCGGACTCGATTGCGCTGCTGCAGAGTGGTGGCGTGCAGGTTGTCATGATCACTGGCGATTCGGAGCAAACTGCCTTGTCAATCGCGCAGCAGCTTGGGATGCGAGTTGGAAGGGGCGCAGGGGGTGTTGTGTCGAGCGGGTACTGCCTCACTGGGAAAGCGATTGATCAGATGACGAAGGCCCAGCTGAAGGAAAGGGTGGGCTCCGTCAGTGTTTTTGCAAGGACAACCCCGAGGCATAAGATGGCGATTGTCGAGGCGTTCCAGGCTAGGGGCCAGGTGGTGGCTATGACGGGCGACGGAGGTGAGTTCGTTTTCTGTCATTTTGCATTGCAAAGACACTGACCTCGCAAAGTGAACGATGCTCCTGCGCTCAAGATGGCTGACATTGGCGTGTCGATGGGGAAAAGCGGCACAGACGTCGCCAAAGAAGCTGCTGATGTCATTTTGGTCGACGATAACTTTAGCACCATCCTTCCGGCCGTTGAAGAAGGCGAGTTCCTTGCGTCAATCCATTTCATCGCGTGCTGATTTCTTGCTCCTCGGATAGGCAAATCAATCTTCCACAACATCCAGAACTTCCTCGCGTTCCAACTGAGCACGGCTGCTGCCGCATTGACACTCATTACTGTCAGTACGATGCTGGGTCTCAGCAACCCCCTGAATGCCATGCAGATTCTCTTTATCAACATTCTCATGGACGGTGCGTTGATGTCTCTCCCGCAGCAAAATCTAGACTCATATAGTACTCGTCTTTCCTAGGACCCCCGAGTCAAAGTCTGGGCGTCGACCCCGTGGATCCAGCCATTATGAAGCGTCCCCCGCGCAAGAAGAACGCACCGATTATTACAAAGCGCCTGCTATTCCGTGTTCTGTTCTCGGCTTCGATTATCGTCATTGGAACCCTCTTTGTTTATGTGTTTGCGCTCGAGGACGACAATATGTCGCGTAGGGAGCAGACCATGGTGAGTTGCTTGTTCCTTGATTCGACATTCCTTGGGAGGATACGGCCGTGATTCCCGGTGCCTGTTCATTTACGCCCGCTAATCTCCTCCATCCCCCCGCTCAGGCGTCTCATCAACCTGCTTGCCTACTGAACTGACGATTTGCTTCCATCTTCTATCAGACATTCACATGCTTCGTCTTCTTGGACCTGGTCTCGGCGGTGCAGAACCGCGGGCTTGGGTGCGGGCTGATGCAGAACAAGATGCTAGTGGGCACAGTTTCGGTGTCGGCATTGACCCAGCTCGCGCTCGTCTACGTGCCATTTATGCAGAAGATCTTCCAGACAGCGGCGCTGAGCTTGAGCGACCTGTCCGTTATTCTCTCGCTTGCTGCGCTCAGTCTCGTGCTGCACGAGGGGCGCCGCACGTACGAGCGCAAGCTCAATGCGGAGGAAAGCTACACGAACGTGATGGAGGAGATGGCATGAGTAATAGACGAGTGGTAGACAAATGGAGGCATATAAAAATGGTTAATTTTAAATTTACTTTTAGGAAGGACCTTGTGAGGTCTGTATATATTTATCACAGCGGAAGTGCTCTAATTCATGGAGGGATACCCGGGCCATGCGCCTTTGTGGTGCATCATGTCTGTCTGTCTGAGTCTTTAAGCAACCATATGACGATTGACGCGCGCCCCACCACCGTACCTAGGCCTATGCGAGAGCATTCCATACAAATGGGTATTCCGGCGTGATAAGGTCACTAGGTTCCGTGAAGGACTCCGGTTCATGAGAGCGTACTCATGTAGGTCATTTGACGAATCGACCAGCCGGAAAAAGTTTGGGGCATTGGCGGGTCTATTTTCCTCCGCCAACAGCGAGAGACTCTCTGAGACTCCTCAAGGACTCAAGAAACTGTATTTAAAAAACCGAAAAGTCAGGCCCCAGGGCAGCAACGGACTCCGAGGGCCCTGTGAACCAGTGTGAATCTGATCTTTGCTGATTTGGCATCATAGGCTGTCGGTGAGAGGGACCGCGAGGAGAACCGGGAAACCGCGTGCTCCGGATTGCGGGGAACACATGATCCAATTACGATCGAGGAGGCTAAACTGGTACGTGATAACATGCGAAATTTACCAGAAGCTGTTGCCTGACTCTTTACTCTCTGACTATCACACAGACGCCAGCCTCA